CCTGTCTCTCATCTTTCATTTGTTTGTTTAGGCCTTGCAATTGAAAAAAAGTTCCACTCAAAACCCACGTGTTTAGTTGTTTCGTGGTAAAGAAGATAAATTTACTGCCTGGAGACAGGGCGAATGGAAGCCTCGCCAGGACTCCAAACAAATGTTGCTTTTAACATGATAATTCCTCCCTAAACCAGCTAGCAGTGGACTAAACACAGCTGGTCTGCCAGAACTCAGGGCAGCTGAAAATCGGGATCAGATAAGCAAAATTAAATTTGTGCTGCAAAACAACCAGCCTTTAGGAATAGCAAATTCAGCCTTAGCTGGTTTTAATTCTGGTTGCTCTTTTGCCGTCGTTACACAATTGCGAGTCCATCTCCTCATGCACGTGAGGCTAAAAATGATCTGTGATTACAGCGTCGCATCCCATCGGTCTGGCGTCGGGGTGGCTTCAACCTGGCACGAGCAAATACCTTAAATGAGGAATTAAAAAGTAGGCCAAACACCACACCTTATCTCACTCTAATTAAACTTCAATTACTTCATTGCAATTAATGAGCATTTAAGAACCAAACAAGATTGTGGTCCAGATTTCTCCTAACTTCATCGATTAACTCTCTAATCAACAAGAGAAAGCCAAAGAGACTTTTCAGGGGTGCGATTCAAATCTTATAAATCTTACTTTCTTCTCTCCTCTGAGGTGCCATACAGGCACCTAAAATGATTCTCTTGGTGGAGGCATCTCAGAAGCACGCAGCAGGTGGGAGAAACCAGGCTTCGTTTTCCATTCAGTCCCTCTCTTTAGATCCAAGAGACACGATCCCAGTGAATTTAGATCCAGCATAAAACCTGACTGGTTACTCAGTCCTGAGTCCCTGGCTTTTCTAATTGTTTCCCATTCCTGTTTCATCTCCCATCTTGCGCATCTCCTCTAACTCCTTTTGTCGCAGACTTTTAAACATGTTTGAGCAAGAAACTGCCTCCAAAACTCACCTTAACGTGACTTACCCTGAAACCACAAAGCAAGCATCCTTCCCCATCCCCTGTCCGTACTCCTCTGTTGGAGTGCCAAGACCTCTGGGCTTTGGCCATGGCCCTCCATGACTCACCTACCCTCTCCTCCTGGCTCTGCTGGCCACCAAGCTGGCAAGAACAAGCCACTCGCCTTTAAAACAGAGCTCCCAGGCTGGCACTGGCTCACCAGGACCGCTTGAGCCAGATGCAGCGCCGGGGTAGCCATAAAAACAGCTCACACCAGGAGTCTGGGATTACAGCTCACAGCTTCTCGGATGAAAGATACCACCAGACAATAAAAATACTTTAGATGCAGCATGGTCCGACTGACAGTAAAGCCCTGGGCAGCTCTGCTTCTCCTCTGGCCTCGTGGGAAAGGACACGAAGCCTCGTGGCCGGTGGCTCGTATTTACCAGCCCTGTTTCTGGGAAGCACTTCAGGCAGACAGCAAGCTGCAAGGACAAGTGTGGAAGAAAGGTCCCCAAACCGATACCTGGTTTCAAGGAGATGAAAAGGTTGGGTGAAAAGGCTGCTTTGTGGGGAGGTTTTTCAATGGTTTATGATGGGGTTTGTAGAAGAGAGGCCAGGCTTGAGATGGCGATACTTTAACCATAAGAAAAAGGAGAGATGATTTTGATAGAGAAAGGGGAAGGATGTCAACTGAGGGAAAGACGGGCGGTTGCAACGACGTGAAAACACAGAGAGGACTGAGGTCGTGCAATGTCCTGTGAGGAGGAATTAGGAAGAAAGCAGAGGAATTGAAAGAGGAATAAAATTCCCGCCAAAACATGTGTCAGCATAACCAGAACAAGGATTTCTTGTCTTCTTTTAGTACTTGACAATGGTAAGGACTAAACAAGACCATGGCGCACCACTAGACTTTATCCAACACGACTGGCAATTTTTGACTTATTACCACATACGTGCTGTGTCACAATTTAAGAGAATTAAATTCTTCAGCATACCAGATGACAGCTCTCTTCTGTGCCTTATCAGGAGGCATCTGGCCAGGTCAAACTAATTACCAATACTGCACAAGTGCCCTTATCTAGGAGCAAATGTTTTGCTGCTGCAATTATGGATGTTAAATTGCAAAAGCTGCTTTTAAGGGAAAGGTTCATCCTACTTTTCAAAGGTACAATTACATTGCTCGGAGAGTCAGGGAGCTCAGTGTGAATTAAAGCAAGGTCTGCTTCAATTACTGCACAGGCTGCCTGACTTGTGGATTATACCTTAATGCTAAGGAGTATTTCTCAGTGGCCAGCAACTTACGCTTGATGACTTTGCAGTCTTCATTCAGTTTGAAGGATGGCTAAACATCAATATACTCCAAGTAGTCCTGAAATCCTGCGTAAATGAACGGTTCCAGTCTTTCTTTCGTGTACAGAAATTCCCGAGGTCTGTGTGTTAACGGGAGCTTGTTCTTGATAACACAAGCTGGAATTATTAATTCAAGACCATAGAGGCCTCGCAGAGTTTCCAATCTTTCTGGCCTCAGTCGGGTTTGCTTTTTTAAGCACCACTGCTCTAAGGCCAACAAACATTTTCTCTTATATACCCACAGCAGTCTATCAGTGAGTCTGCAGCTATCCCGAGTCTGGTGTGGGTGCACCGCTGCGCTCTATTCTTTTTTTTTTTTTTTTAATAAGCAGACAAGCCGTGCCTACCCAGGCATGACACAAACCAGGCACACGCTAGCTGGCTTCATCACTTCAGTAATGATAAAGAGGTCTAAAATTATTACATTAGGCAAGTACCAACTATAAATGTGTCTTCCAATGAGACTTTCACTTAAAGAAAGCAGCTTTCCCCGCACCCGCCGCCCTGCGGCACTGCAGCGGGTGCTTTGCGGATCGAGGGGGAAGGGGGCACTTGCATTTGACAACGGGAGCACCCCAACGCGTACGGGTGCGGAGGAAGGAGCAGGGAGATGAGGCTGCTTCCAGCAAAGTCCCGAGCCGTCATTTTAAAGGATGTTTCTAAGGTACGTTGAGATCTGCAAAGTAAAAGGAACAATCATAGGGGGGGTGTTACTAATAAAATGTTCGGCAGTGGCGAGCGGGTCATTTTGGAAGCAGATCTTGAAACTACTTTTCTTCCCTCTTATTCTGAGGCAACCAATTTAACAAGGAGAAAAGTTAGGCGCGGAGTACTTAAGCAGAGTAAGTTAGTTCACAATTTGAGGCTTGAAACGTTCAGCAAATAAAGCACACAGGCAAATTCAAATAATTTCAGAACACCTTTGTAAAAAGAGCGTATGTTCTCTACATTAACTTACAATATTAGCAAACTTCTCACAGCACAAGTAGAAAGTAGGACTAAATTGCTTGGTGTTGGAGTCTTGGTTCATAAAAGCTCTTACCACACAACATCAGAGAGCTATTTTTTTATACATTAATGGATCTGACCTAAATATTTTTCTTAAGCATCAGAAAGTCCATTATCTCATCCTGTGGAAACTGCAGCA